AGCAACCATATCGCCGTACGAAACTTGATTGCATATGCAATAGCGTGGTTCGTTCGGATCGTATGTCCAATCCGGATTATCCGGATCCACTACTTGCGTGGTTGTGGTAACCACTGGTGGAGACACAGGCTGTTGCACTGTAGCTGCGATCACGCTCGAACTCGGCACAGTAGCTGTCACTTTCCTAGAATTTGTAATAGCAAAACTCAATCGGGACAGCCGTTATTGAGATCCCATAATCTTGATTTGACGCGACTCGTTGATTCGCGTAAAGGAGGTACGGCAGTATCTCATGCCATGCTTAGCGCTAAGACTATCGTGTTCACACGATCGTGTTGTTTGAACAATTGCTATACAAGAAATTTTTCTATAAAATAAAATACAAAATTGTAAAGTATCCCTAATATAACAAAAAGTAATCTCTTAATCCAAATTATTGGAACTTAAAGAGAATTTATAAATAAGGGGCAATTTAATTATTTTGAGTAAATTTAATTACTATTTGTTTCTTCATTATATATTTTCTACATACTTTTTATGCTTCTTTGTAGTCTCCTGGATAGCGGCAATGGCAGTTTGTGCCGCACCGGCCAGTTCCCTGCTGAATTCCGCAGCATGTACGCCACCAGTGTTAATAGCCTCATAGCTTGCCTTTAAACTAGCCGAACGTCTACCTTGCTGCATTGACTGCGTGGCCGCGATCGCCTGTGACGCTGCTGCCGCAATGGCATTACCACCGGCGCCGATGTGGCCAAGATTATAACATACTGATCCCACGGAATTAGCAATCGCTGCCGGCGCCGGCGTGACACTATTCGTTGCGATAATGGGCGCGGAATTCGCTGATGCCGGCCGTGACTCCGGTAAACTTGTCGTTGCTGGTAACTTCTCAATCACCAGCCTCTTTTCGACTGATGTGGAAGATGCATTGGAGTCCCGTCGCTTCTCCGATCGAGCTGAAATTTGCGTAAAATTTGGAGAGTACGTCTAAAGATTGTTATATATTACAATTTTATTCCATTTATAAATTTATAATTTATAATTAGTGACTTTTATAGATTATCCTAAAGTATCTCCTAATAATGTCGATGTTTTTGAGAGATTAAACTAATGCATTTTCCATTTTTATATTGAAAGCCATTTGAATTGAACATGAAGTTACATTATTATGTAAAAATGCTATACTTACAATGGCTATGATTATCTCGCGTTCTGCTCGGCGTGAAACTGTAACGATTTTCTTTTTGGCTGCTATTTGTGGGTGGCTGATCCAATTCTAGGGATCTCTTTTCCAAGATTTCGGTGATACCTTTATTGTCTGCCTCAAGTTCCATTTTGAACTTGTGTAGCTCCTGATCGAGCCTCCTCAGGTACCTGTCTACCAAGTCGTACATCTGATTGGCTAAGTGCACCTTCTCATCTGCATCTTCTAAAGTCTTGTAATACTCTTTTCTGATAGCTTCGTACTCTGCTTCCTTTTCGCTGGGTTTCATCTTCTTGGCATTGGAAAAAAACGTCTTTACTTTCTTTTCCAGGCTATCCATGGAATCTGAAGGTAGTTGATGTTAGTTTTATCACATAAAGGAGGCACGTCCGTGTCTCGCGCCATAGCTTAGCGCTGAGACATTACCAGTGTCTCCAGATAATTTAGAGTTTTTTTTTTATCACTGTTATTATTTCATCACTATATTTTTATCACTATATTCTCTGTTACATCAAATAATACATACTCTGTACACCTAAATCCATCTCCCTCATCTCTGTAAATCGGTCCCGTAGCTCTTGCGGAAGATGCTCGATCACTGAAACCATAAGACAGACATTAGCAAAAAGATAATTAGAGTTTTATATTTTACATAAAGTAATTATTCTTGAATCATTTATTCTTGTAAATTTATTTATACTTTGTTCTTAATAATCTCCAGTTAATAGATAATGTCTTTTCATTTAATGTCACAAGTTGACACAAATGTTTTTTTCTTTCTTGACATGCCTTGAATAACAAGAACAGAATGACATTTGTGTTGACCTGTGTCATAGAAAATACTCAATATAATGTAAGTAACAAATCCTTCAATTGCTACATGAACTTACATTAAACAATTTTATTTACTTCATTCGTTTATAATAACACCACATTCAATAAAATTAATATTTTTTTGACAATATTCTATGACTATTCTCATAGTGTATTGAACAAAAAAATTGCGACTATGTAAACAGAAATTGTACTTTAGAGAAAGAGTTTTTATGAATTTTTAATTCTGTACAATGAAATTCAATGTTGACAAATGCAGGATTGCAGATTTAAATAATAATTTATTATTTTTTTTTTATCTTGGCAATATAGCAACAAGCGTTTCGTCGTGTCGACGAAACATTGCGCCTAACCTTTTGACGCGAGGTCGCATTATCAAGCAAACGCGCCTTCCCCGTCGCATTTTACAGCGATCAGGTCCAGGTCGCGTAAAAGAAGGTGCGGATCGCAGTCCGCAGAATGTAAACAAAAATGGCTGCATTTGTCGCGGAACAAATCAGCCCGCGAGATTCTAGGTGATTTTAGGTTTTAGGTTAGCCGCGCGCCACGCGAAGAGGTTAGGATTCTAAAAGCGAGCCGTGCCATTTCTCCTACGCACTTTCAACGTAATCTTCGAGGTAAAGCATCTTCCCGCGCCGTCGATTGCCTGCGATTGATATACTTGACTAGTAGTCGCCGGACGTCGTCGGGTAGCCGCAAAATTTCGCGGGAGTTTGCAGGAAAACGCGCTGCCCGATTGAAAGCGTGCCCGCGCGTGTCCAGTCCCTCCGCAATTCGCATTCGTATTTGTTCGTATTTTCGGGACGCTTTCAGCTTTCAAGTCTTAGCGCGCTTTCAGATTTGACTTTCGGTCTGAAACGTTCGATCGGGATTTTCAAGGGAGTGCGATCGCCGCTATGACCTACAACGGGCTTTGCCAGGCGACAACGAGGCTCGCGCGAAGCAGCCTTGGTTTGGGATTATTTGCCATATTTGTCGTATACCCGGTATACCATATACGCGAAGAATATCAGGAACGTATCGAAAAATTTGGTGCCCGGAATATTATCATTTCTTCACTTTATTCTTCATTAAATTTAGTCGATTACGAGAAATCAACCGGAATGCGTATTTAATTTTGGAGCACTTGCAATTTTAGCGAAATTTAAAGGCTTGAAGTTTAATCTATGATACACTATGCTTCTTGTTTCTTGCTTTTTACCTTTTTTAGACATCACTTGCCTTTTTATTTTTTTATTATGTTTCTTGATTTTCTGTTGTCCGAAATAAAAGTTGATAAATTTTGAAAGAGTAAAAAAAACACGACTGTTTATAAAATATCTTAAAAAGAGAAAGAAATAAAAGAATAAAAAATAGAAAACAAAGAATACATTGTAGATTAGGCTTATATATCGAAAAACAAAACAAGATTTTTCTTTTTGCTTTCTATGCGATTATTTTTATTTTTCTCGATGTGCACATTTTATTTGTATTTTACTCATTCCTGATTTTTCGGAGAATATAGGCGCGTTTCAGAAGTCGCACATATATTTGCGAATCATTATTTTCAATTAAATTCTGACAAGATTCGTTATACATAAAAAAAAACAATGTAATGCTATTTTTTTCAGTAAAATGATACGACGAAGTCCAACTCGGATAGAAATGCGTTTGGATGACCTGCAAATATACGAGGAAATAAGGAAAGCACACGAGTCTAAGAAAGATCCCGAAAGAAAAGCGTCCTCATCCATGAATCCACCCTCATGGGGAGGCAAGATTCCTCAGAGCGAGATTCAGGAACGCATTGGTTACGTGCCGCAACATCCATCCGCGCACAATCGAGCCACAACATAACACTCGATTCAAGACTTGGGATACGAATTACAAAATGAATTGAAAGCAACAGTCAAATTATGCATTCCAACTAATTTTTGATTTTAAACAGTTGAATACATTTATACACAGATACGATTTATATTAAACATATTCGAAAATGATCTATTAAAACAGATATAATTTTTTAAAAATGAATTTGTTCAATTTTATGCAATTAATTACACCAGTTATGATAAAAAAATTATAATCCTAAAAACAGTTTTTACAACATGACATTAGTTTTATTTACAAAATGTAATTGCTATGTGTGAAATATACAATCAATGAACGATATCTACGTTTTTCTTCTTCTTCTTCATCTTTATTGGCATAGGTCCTGGCATCTTGAATACCGTGCTTAAAAAATTCACAATAAGTTCATAATTATCATTTATGATATATTATTTTAATATATGATATAATTAAAAAATATCAGAACTAAAGAAACTTACTGGCAAGTAGTACATATTGGACTGAACTTACAGAAGACTAAAAAAACGATAATACCTTTTTAATACGAATAAATTTAATATTATGTTTATATATTGTTTTTTACATTGTTTCACATTAATTACAATATTCTTAAATTATTGATCAGATATAATTTTATACTTACTTGATAAACATATGGAACAAACATATCCAATATCAATAAGTTCCTGATGGCAAAAACACGCTGCCCTATAATCCACCTTTACTGGCGGAGGAAGAACCAATTTAGATCTAACACTGGGATCTGGCAGGAAAACCCACTAAATTATAAAAAAAATAAATCAGTATACATAATAATTGCATTTGTGTTAATAAAATTAAGCATGCACAATTCACCAGTAAATACTGCAGCAATCCAGCAAGCTGTGGCACCTTCAGGTAATTACCGCCAGTAATATCGCAGCCCTGTTGCAAGAGTGTCAGCTCTTGATCCAAACTGCACACATCCAAAATGACATTCTGAAAGTAGCCAGGCGGATGTTACGAATTATCTGTTATTCTGTTATTGTAATACAAAAATCCAAGAGAGAGAGACAAAACCATTCTCTGTGCAGTGAAGAATATGTTCATGTAATTCATGTACTGTGTGGCCGAGTCATTGCTGGCAGTAATCACCAGCATCCTAGGATGCAACTTCTGGCCAGCGACCTTTTCTCGCTCCAACCGAGCGATATAGCACAATGCCATACTGAGTGCACCAGAAATAAGACTCTCCATATTCAATGGAACATCCATGGAGATTTCATTAATTACTTGCTGCAATTGCTGACGTACTGTGCGTTCTACCATGGTAAACTTTTCATACTGTCCATCCATCTGTCTTATTTCTATTGCGTTTTCACAAGGATAGAGGAATCTAGCACTATGGCCATGGCATGACATTATCGCCAGTTCATTATTGGATGATTGCATAAGGTGAGCATTGGCAAAAACAATTGTTGAGTCTAAACACTGTGACAGTATTTTGGTTTCTTGCTTCACTATACGCTGCATTGGATTGACATCCAAAACAATCACCAACAAACTCGTCTCTATTTCTAAAGGGCATTTATAAGTAAATGAATAAACAAAGATCGGACAAATAAATTCCAATTTAATTCTGCAAGATAACGTATTGCATATAAAAACCTTAACATACCAATTGACATTTTGTTAGAATTCTCTTTTTTTTTAATAATTTTCTTTCTTTAAATTAGAAATTTCTTTATTTTTTAATTATAATATATATATTTTTGTAAATGTTTTGTTGTGTTTTTAAATTTATGTGCAATTAGAAGTTAATAAACAAATATCAAACATACATAACTGCCATTGCACAGTGGAGCATAACGCCACTGATGCCAATGGTTAAATGATCACGTTAATAAGGTAACTCATGTTCAGCATTCAACTGTTGCGGAACAGATCCGTGAGCGCTTGCTGCTATTGGATGATCTAAGAATGAAATCACACGGTACGGGAATCAGCATGCAGGACAGAGGATGCGTGATTCGAACAACCAATCAGCGCTCTTCTGCATTTTTCTATCTCTTTCCCACGATTGGCTATTCGAATTCTCTGTTCCACATGTTGAATATCGTGTGATTTCATCCTAAGGGTGTCCCATGCAGCAGATCGTGCGTGGATTCGCGTATCGCCAATCACAGAATCATTCTCTTAAATCTGCTTGCGAAATTTGCAAAATAATTTTCTAAATAAGTTAATAGTAGCGAGCGCCCACGGATCCGAACAGTTGAGGCCATAAGTTTGTTTTTTATTGTTGCACTTTAAACTGGGGTAATAAGTTGACTGTTGAAACAAAACAAACATATATTTATTTCATTTTAACTTATTGCATTGTGTATACCAGTTCAGAAAATAGCAATAAAAACCAGACCTCATAATTGGCGCGTTCGGGAAGACACTATTAGCGCAACTTTCTCATACTATCTTCGTTGTTTATTAGATATAAAACAAGGATAGAGCTAATAGCATTTTCTCGAACATACCTATGGTCGTTCGTTTTGTCTCTCGAGAGCTGTAGGATTCACACTATGTACATCCGTCATATGACGTCCGACATTCATCATAACAATAAAATATTAGGAGGTCGATTGTGTATCTTGAAATGAAGTGAAAATTACAAAAGTGAACAAATTCACTAGAATATTCATAATTTAATTGATCCTAATTAATTTAATATATGATTATCTAATAATCATTGCTCTCTTTTGTAATTTTCATCTCATTTCAAAATACACAATCGAGTCAGATGTCTTATAACGAATGTTGTACATAGTGTGAATCCTATATTTCAACTACGCTAAGTTCATTCGGAGCGACCCTGAATAGCTTCCGAGAAGCAATACGAACAATATTATTTAATACATTTACATGACTTGAAACTACTATATGAAATATATTATATGAAATTGGTCAATTACAATCATTCCATTCTTCAGAGGAATAGATTATGATTGGCCAGGTTTATAATATCGATATTATAATTTCGGCATAAAATATGCCGTGGCCTATTCTACAATAGAGTTATAAGCAATAAGTCGTAAGAAATTAATCAATCATAGTCGATTATTCTTCTCATACTTAACTGTGACTGGCCAATTTCTTACGGCTACGATTTGCCTATTGTAAAACAGACATAACAGAGGTCATTACCTAAGCTTTAAGTCTTAAGCCATAAGAAATTGATCAATTATAGTCAATTATTCTTCTTAAATTCAACTATGATTGATCAATTTCTTACTATTTAAAACTTAAAGCTTAAATAATTACTTTTTATAAAAAGCCTACAATTCATCGTAATAAATGTCGGATGACAGACCTGACAGATCTGTTCTACAATAGAGTCGTAAGCGGTAAAAAATTAATTAATCATAATTGATTATTCTTCTCATACTTAACTGTGATTAGCCAATTTCTTAACAGTTTACGATTTGCGAATTATAGAACTCTATTATAGAACAGGCATTAGCCCGGATCTATAATAGATTTTTAAGGAATGGAATCACAATTGATTATTCTTCTCGCATTCGGCTGTAATTGATCAGTTTCTTAAGACGTAAAACATCTATTGAGAATCTGGACTAAATCCGGATTTACAATAGATGTTTTAAACCTTAAGGATGCCATCTCATGACGCGTATCGCTGTACGTGCGTATTCGCGAATCGAAGCATCCGACCAATTACTAGCCTAGTTTCCACCGAATGTTTAATTCGGATCAGAATGTAAGAACCAACCAATTACAGTCGAGCATTCCCTTCGTTCGATTGTAATAGGGAATACTCGATTATAATTGATTGATTCTTACATTCCGGATTAAACTCTCGATGAAAACTAGGCTACTGACAATCCGTCGTTTTATGTACGACAATTGTGTCCTTAATGTCCCATGGTTCGTGGGTAAGTGGATCGCAAATCATAGAATAATTTTGTTAGATCTTGCAAATTCGCAAAAAAATAGTATTCTGATTGGTTCAAGTTGACATCTTAAGGTCTTTAAGGCTGCCACAAATAAAATTTCTGTAACAGTAATTTAAGCCGTTGAATTAACGAGAATACTGCTTTAGATCGGGTTCGCACCTTGACGAAAAAACGAAAAGCGGATAAATGGAAGCCAATCAGAACTCGAAAAGACAGAAGCAGACAAGCGAAATGTACTGCCTACTACTATTGCATGTGAACCCAGTCTTAGATCTACGTACTTTAACGGAAATAGAAATAGCAAGAAACTTATACATAACCTCGCAATAAAGTGAATTTCAACTGGTTGAAATTCATCTTATATTTACTGTTATTTTCATTTGCGTTAGATTACGTAGACCTAAAGCATAATATCCTGATTGGTTCATCGAAAGTTATGTCTTATGGTCACTGTTGTCATGGAATTTTGTGTGCGGCAGCCCTTAGAATCATTCTACACAACTTGCGTAACCGCATAACATATGCAGAAAAATTCAAATATAAAGAAAATCTAATTGTATTTTACGTTTGCCTTTATGACAGAATTGTGATTGGACAAATTTCTTTATGCATACGGTTATGTGGGTATACAAGTTGTGTGGAATGGCCCTTATGCCTGTTCTACAACAGAGTCGCAGGATTGCAAGTAATTAATTATTTTTTAAATTAAATTACACGTTTAATTGACAATTGAAACGATTGAATTTAATTAAATATCATTCAATTGACGACTGATTTAAGCGGAGTTAATTAAATGTTCAATTCCTTCAATTAAAATAGGCAAATTCAATTGAACACCATTCAATTGACTATTGATTTAAGCAAATTTCATTAAGAGACATTAAATTAAAAATTAAAATAAGAAAATTCAATTAAAGATTATTTAATTGACTTGATTTAATCAGAGCCAATGAAAGAGAAATTGAAAATTGAAATGAGCGAATTCAATTGAACATCATTCAATTGAGGATTGATTTAAGCAAATTTAATTGAAACTCGTTTAATTGAATATTGAATCATCAACGATAAGCATGCATTATGACAATAGATCGAGCAGATGCGCTTATTCGATGAATTTTTAGAAATTAATATCTCGTTTATTATTGCAAAAATTGCAAAATAGTCATTTTTT